ACCAATTATTACATAAAGCCCTATTCACTTTACCTTTTTTGGATATTAGTAAAGATTCATCTACAACAGCAGCAGAAAAATTTTGGGCCACCATTATTAAGGGGCCACCAGAACTGATAGGACAACTTATCTTTTGGAAAGATACTCACACTGGAAAAATAGGAAAGAGGTATTGTTCAAATTTGGGGGAGAGGGTTTGCTTGTGTCATTACAGATTCAGGAGAAAAAGTATGGTTACCTGCTGGAAGAATTAAACCTCTACATGAGCCACAAAAGAGTCAGATTCGATCTGAATCTTCAGGTGGAAGAAATGAGAGCAATGTCACTATAGCACCATTCCCAGACACCAACCAAGAACACTCAAAAAGCACAATCCCCAACCTGGGGACAACTTAAGAAATTAACCCATGATGCCGAGAAGCTGTTGAGTTCCACTGGACAAGACTTTATGGCTGGTAATATGTCTCTAGCCATGCTGGCTGTACTCGCTTCTATGGTAGACAATAACTATACAAAATTGGGCATATATGCCTGCACCAATTTATGTTAATGAATCTAGATGGCTTCCAGGTCCATATGACACACGGGGAACATTAATAGCAATAGAAAGTCACCAGTATTCTTAAGAGGATAAAATACAAAGTGTACATAGTCTTTGTAGATAAAAGATTCTATTCCTTCCAAAAATTTACTGAGAGATCTCTGCTAGTTGACGATGAAATCTGACTAGTCTGTGTAAACTATAAATTTCTAAAACTATAATAGAATTAGTATAATCCAATTTGGTCAAAAATATATTTGAGTACACTCTGATTTTGTAAAGATGTTTGTTTGTTTGTTCTGTGTACTTGTTTACATGTTTGTCAATCAGTGAACTATGGCTCCCTTTTATTTTGAGCTCAGCAATTGGGTTATAGATTTAAAAGCATGCTTTCATCTGAATTACCAGCTGGTTTAAATGATATCAAAATTACGGTATTTTAACCACAGTCCTTAGGATGCGGAGAAATTATTGGGTAGAACTCCAATTGGTGAACAGAGGAGTGGCCAACTTTCATTAATAAGGAGCCCCCCCCCATGATCTCCATAGTCTCTTGAGAAACACCCCAATAATTGGGTCAATCCATCAGAAGAAGTGTTTCAGTTATGAAAATGTAAAACAAAGACTGTTTATCGTGATAAGACTTTCCTTCAGATTAAGACCTCTACCTTTAACAGAAACATGTGATGTGTATCCCATTAAAGGACAACAGCTTCTTATGTATTAGATTAAGATAACTGGTTAAAAAGGTCATGTTATGTCAAAATGAAAATGTAAGTATTTTACAAAATGTCATCATGATTGTCATGCAGCAGTGTTATGTACCGTTTTGATTTCTAATTTTCTGGATATATGTAACTGTTGTTTGTTAACATTCTACTAGGATTTACATATTACGATGTACATGATTGTTAGAAAATGATGATTGACCACTGTTATGGACTTTGGACTATATTCTTATTTTTCCAATTTTCTACTGTCGTTTTACATGGTATTATAATCGTACTTTGCCTGATTCTCTTAGTCTAACAAAGTTCATCCAGAAAATGCTGAGAGAAACAGGAAGAAAATTTGGCAACCTTCTCACTGATGCTTCAAAGGTTTGCAGCAAAACAATAAGGGGGAAATGTGGAGACAGACATTATTTGATTAGAATGCATTGAGGACACAATGATTTGTTTGTTAGAGTTTCTTAAGATGAGGCTTTATTATACATTCTGGATTAACCTTGAGTTTAAGATCCTCCTGTCTCAGCCTCCTGAATGCTGGGATTGTAGGCATGTCTTGGGTGATCCTTTAATTATTCTTGCTAATATGTTTGGTATCCGCCCATTTGTCCTAGCCAAGTCCTTGGTTCTTGCTCAATAAAAGGTGACTGAATTTGGTATTTGAAGGCCGTCAGTCCTAGAGGCTGCTAGCACCTGCTCACAGAATTTTGGCTCTTGTGGTTTGATGTTTTTCTTACTTTTCTTATACATTGCGGGCATCTAGTTTTGGGGGATCTGCTCACCCTGGACAGAGTTGGAGGAAAGTCTGACACCTGGGACCTATGTGTCAGGAACATGTGAGGCATCATACGGAAAAGCAGGCGCGCGTCTGCTTTGAGACACAAGTAAAGCGGCAGCGAGAGGTCCCAGGAAGCAGGGAAGAAGGAGACTTTGCGCTCACTGCAGCCAGCTGCTATACGTACATGATCTCATTCACAGTCTAATTAAACAATCCCAGGAAAGAGCCATTGCCCCTGCCCTCCTACAGGTGAGATTAAGCAGCTCACCCAAGGTCACTGAGCTGCTAAGTGGCCAAGGCCAGATGGGAGTCCAGGGCTGTCTGACATTTCTCCCTTCGGGGCAGCCTCGGTAGACGCCTGTCACAAGACCACCAGGATAATGAGCAAGTAGCAAGGACAGCGGCCCAGGGAAAATGACCTGCTGACTGGGGAAGGCTTCTTTCCCCTCCGCAGCAAGGGTCTCCAGGCCGGGCTGGCATTGCCTTCCCAGCTCCTTTCCCTCCTGCCCAGAGCCCACCCGCTGCCCTCACTCCCACAGCCCAGCTGCCCACACCAAACCTTCCATGACGGATGTCGGTGTGTGGGCAGCGTCGGAGTCCAGATCACTTATCTCACTATGGCTCAAGCTTTCTCATTTCCTGCTGGCTTTATTTACACATCTCCCTACATCCTCCAGTTCCCAGTTCTCTGCTACTGACGCAGACCATGCCCTCCCCATGGTGGCCCATGAGGGCAAGGAGTTCTCCCTGTGCCACCACCTCAGCCCTGAGCCGTCTGGGAGCCCACGGCCCTTCCTGACATCAACGAGGCATTCTCAGGTGACCTTGGACAGCTCAGCCTCTCGGCCTTCTCCTTCCTGTTGATAAAGCAGGGGTAAAAATACTATCTGCCATGCCTTCTTTCCTACTTAACACACAGCAAGATGGTCAGCGTGAAAAGTAAATGTTATGTTGACTGAAAAATAGGATTTAGCTGAAGACACCCAGCATTATTTCAAAGTCAGAGGAGACAATACTTCTCCTTAAAACAAGACCCTGGCACCAGCCCTTCCAGTCTACCCACTCTCCCCATAACCCAACTGTGAGCCCCTCACCCTGGCCATGTTTCCCCTTCCTCCCAGTGCCCAAGTCTTAGCCAGTGCCAGTGCTGACAGAAGTGTCCTCTGCTGTCCATCTTATTCAGAACCACAGCAGCCCCTCGTCCCAATTTTTGGGCCAATATTGTCACCTAGTGGTGAAGAGATGCACTGCCACCAGAGTGAAGCTGCATGGCCTTGGTACCTACTTGAATGGTATCAAGATCTGAAATCCAAAGAAATCTCACCATCTACTTCCTGAGACCTGTCTCCAATGCATGCAGATCTCCTCACACCAGCTCAGGGGTTCCAAGCATATCTGACTATGCTTTGAGCCGTGCACAGAGCACCTGGAGCAGGTGAGAGGGTAGAAGAATGGGAAGGAAGACGCTATTTAGAGGAGCAACTTGCCTGACTTGTAAGTTACATTTGCATCTTTTACTTTAGTGTTCAGTGTCACACAGACCCCATCCACATGTGCCCCACTGTGGCTCAGTCATAGAAACTCAGCCCCCAGTGTGCCTGACATAAAAAACATCCAGTTGGGGGCTGGGGATTTAGCTCAGCGGCACAGTGCCTGCCTGGCAAGAGCAAGGTCATGAGTTTGATTCCTGGTAGCAGAAAACAAAAACAATAAACAAAAAAAAATCCAGTGCCCCCGGGGCACTCAAAGCATTTCCTCCTGATAGAAGAGCCAGGAACACATTTCTAGGTATCTTTTCTCTGGACCTTCACTCACCACCACCCCTTCTGAAGATGAAACTCAATAGGTAAAAGCAGGGTCATAGCAGGTACCTCTGACAGAACGGAGTCGGGGGTTCCCAAGAAAAGAGAAAAGGAAAATTCAGGGGCAGCACAAGGCTGAGCAGTACAGAGAAGGAGCCACGGGCTTCTCCTGGAGACCCGGAAACAGAGCCACAGGAAGAAATGATGACAAAAGAGAAAGCTTCTCAAACCTACAAGAGGAAGTAGACCCAAGAGACAGGCTCTGGAGGTCAGAGAACAGCCATGCAAAAGGAAAGACAGCAAGCTGAGCTGCAGCGAGCTCCTGAGCCTGCACCCTAGGGCACAGGAAGTGGGAGGCAGAGTCTGAAGCCCAGAGTGGGGGTGAAGTGCCAGCCTGAGACGTGCAGAGCAGGGCAGCTGGAAGACACAGCCGCTGGAGCCACCAGAGTGCAGCTGAGCCCAGGCCTGACCAGGCGGCCCAGCTGTGCCCAGGCAGGGAAACACATTGGTGTCTGGGCTACTCGCAGACCCCCTGCGTAATACCAGCAAAAGGCATGCTCTGCATCAGGGCACAGGCCACCCCTCCCGCCGGGGTCCCTGCTTCCTAAACCCCTGAAGCAACACGCCTGGCTTGTACCCAGGAGAAGGCCGCGGGAGGTGGGGCCACACACCACACACACACACACACACACACACACACACACACACACACACACACACACACGGAACTGGCTGCCCTGGGGGTAGGTGGAGCCCAGCACTGGGGGACCTGGGAGGAAGGCGTGTCAAGGGAGGAGTTCAGGCCGAGCGGGGGTCGGCACTGCGCAAGGCTCTCTCTCTTCGCTCTGACTTGCACCTCATCCTGCACAGAACTTTTTGGAAGTTGGAGGGAGGAGGTCACTTAGAGTGAGGTGTTATCCTCAGTGAGGATTTGGGGTCCCCTGGGCTTCACAGGGAAGGGGGGACGCATTCTCAAGAGTCAGCTCCTGGGCACCTCCAGAACCCTGGCATGGATTCCACAGAGAGCACCCCAACTGCTAAATAGGGCAGGGGTCCCCTTCTCAAAGGCCTGCATCCCTCCCTCCGGGGTGTGCCCTGCCCCTCCCTGAGCCACCCCAGGGAGAGGGGAAAAGGGAAGAGAGGCATTACTACAGAGCAGGGAGAAGGAAGCAGAACAGAAGAGGGAGGAGAGAAGCCACACGGGAGTGGGTGACAAAGAAGACTAGAGGGCAGATCTAGGGCAGATCTAGGGCAGGGGGAGACCGAGGGAGGGCAGGCTGAGCATCCAAGGGCGCCCCAAGAGCAGGGCCAGGGGCGGGGAGCAAAGGGGCGGGCCGGCCATGTCCCACGGGACCTACTATGAGTGCGAGCCCCGGGGAGGCCAGCCGCCACTGGAGTTCTCAGGGGGCCGAGCAGGGCCCGGGGAGCTGGGGGACATGTGTGAGCATGAGGCCTCCATCGACCTCTCTGCATACATCGAGTCTGGGGAGGAGCAGCTGCTGTCCGACCTCTTTGCCATGAAGCCAGCACCTGAGGCCCGAAGTCTTAAGGCCCCTGGGACCCCTGCCTTCCCTCACTACCTGCCGCCTGACCCCCGGCCCTTCGCCTACCCCCCGCACACCTTTGGCCCGGACAGGAAGGCGCTGGGGCCTGGCATCTACAGCAGCCCAGGGAGCTACGACCCCAGAGCTGTGGCTGTGAAGGAGGAGCCCCGGGGGCCGGAGGGCAGCCGAGGTGCCAGCCGAGGCGGCTACAACCCCCTGCAGTACCAAGTGGCACACTGCGGGCAGACGGCCATGCACCTGCCCCCGGCCCTGGCAGCACCCGGCCAGCCCCTTCGCGTCCTCAAGGTAAGAGCAAGGCGGCTCTCCCTGCGCCCAGGGCCGGAGTGAGGCTGGCGTGGGTGGGACTCTAAGGTCCCTCGTATGCTGACAAGTCTGGCTTTGGTGTTGCTCTGTGAAACTGACCCACCCTGGTCCTCTGGGCTCACTGCCATCCCGGGAGCACCCCCAGGAGCCCTCCCACCCCGCCCCGAATGTCACCATGTCCTGGAGGCCCTGTGGCAGGCGGACCCCACCAGCCTCCCCGCTGCCCACCATACCCCCTCTTCTTTGTCACCTGCTTCTGGAAGAGGAAATGCCCCTGACTATAGGGCAGGAGACTCACCACAGTGGCGGAGGGAAACTGTCCTTGCGCGAAGGACCCTCGATGACCGCCTTGACCTGGGCGGCAGGCCCTGGCCTGGGACTCTCGCCGAGCCTCCACTCTGCCTCCAGGCGGGCCCTCACCTCTGTTCCCTGTGCCTCCCCCCCAGGCCCCTCTGGCCGCTGCTGGGGCCCCCTGTAGCCCCCTCCTCAAGGCGCCCTCCCCAGCCGGCCCCTCGCACAAAGGCAAGAAGGCGGTGAATAAAGACAGCCTGGAGTACCGGCTGCGGCGCGAGCGCAACAACATCGCCGTGCGCAAGAGCCGGGACAAGGCCAAGCGGCGCATCCTGGAGACGCAGCAGAAGGTGCTGGAATACATGGCCGAGAACGAGCGTCTGCGCAGCCGCGTGGAGCAGCTCACGCAGGAGCTGGATACCCTCCGCAACCTCTTCCGCCAGATCCCCGAGGCTGCCAACCTCATCAAGGGCGTGGGGGGCTGCAGCTGAGCCTGGCTGGTGGACTGTGGGCCCCGGGCCCCTGGCCGAGCCTGAGACATAGACTATGGACAAGGGTGGCCGGGGGTTAGGGAGGGCAGGAACCGTGAGGATTGCGTGGCTGAATAAACTGCACTCCGGCTTGGTGCTGGGGCTGTTTGCTGGGCTCGACTGTGTGGACTTGTGCATGCATGTGCGTGTGAGCAGAGACAGAACACCGCAGAGACAGGACGGGTACATGGGAATACATGCTTGCAGCCTGGGATCTCCTCCCAGCATGCAACACAGCCAGGCCCGTGTCTGTCCCTCTCCTCTCCTCCCCGCTGCCCCCCCTGCTCGCTGTCCCCCACCCTCACACTCTGTCTGTTAGCTAAGGAGTGCTCCCCTTGCCCTGATGCAGAACCTGGGTCAGCCTCTGGGTGCCCTCCTGAGAGAGCCTGAGTTTTTAGTGCAGTCCCAGTACCCACTCCAAGCTGTTCTCCCACCATAGGGTACAGGTGTGAGAGCTCCTGCCCCAGGTGACTGGAAAAAATTCCTCATTGCTTTGCATTTTTTCTTTTGAGATAAGGTCTCGATGCATATCCCAGGCTGTTGTTGAACTTACTATATCATGTAAGCTGGCCTCAAACTCAGGCAATCCTCCTGCCTCAGCCTCCAGTGTATAGGCATTTGCCACCACAGCTGGCTAGCTCTGCCATATTTGCAGTCCCTCAACCCTTGACCCAGCAATCTACTTCTTCCCGGTTGCACAGTCTCAGTCTACCAGACTAACATCCCCCACCTGTGCTCCCACCCACCTACTCCAGGCTTTATCCCTCATCCCCAGGGGCTCTTGTTCCCTCAAGCCTGAGATTCAGAGTGCCTGGAGGAGGAATCAGTGGGGAAAGACCTGGAGGCCTGACTTGAACATGAGAACTTGGATAGAAAGGAGGCAGACAGTGCCCAGATACCAGTGGAGCACCACACTTTCCACTCCACAGGACTGTAGCCTGGGAAGCACAATAGGTCAGTAATCAAGAGCCACAGGCAGCGTCTCCCTCTGCTACTCGCTCACTGGCTATGTGACCTGGAGCCAGTTGCCTCTCCATCCTGTGCCTCAGTTTCCTCCCCTGCAAAATGGGAGCAATTATAATACTGATCTCATGGTGTCGATGTAGTCGTAGGAAATGTGGCACCTGGCACATGGTAAGCATGGGCATTTATGATTCCCATTTGCTATAACTAGAACAATCTCAGAGATCTCACCTAAACTTCTCATTTTGCAGATGAGGACACTGAGGCCTCATGCAGGCAGGGACTTTCCCAGAATCACTGACTGTTTAGAGGCAGAATCAAAATTAGCTCCCTAAAATCACAGATCTCGAGAGGTGTTGGCAGAGACCTCAAGAACCCCTCTGGTGAGTTTTACCCTCAGACCAGCAAGATAGTGGCAGCCACAGCTTACAGATAAAGCGCTGAGGTTCATCCCAGGGAGATGATGGGCGGCGTTGCTGCAGCTCCTGCAGCGCCTTCGCAGCCTCGGCCCCCCGGCACCAAGTCTCTGTCTGTGCTCACTACTTCCCCCAAAAATACAGGGCACAGGTGCGCAAGGAGCCACATTCTGAGGCAAGCATGGCTGTCTGACAGGTCCGACTTGGGACAGAAGAGGGGTCTACTTCCTCTACAGCCACTGCTGGAAAGCCTGAGTTGAGCATCGAGGAATTACTTTCTGAGAGGCACAGGGACTTGCTCCTTTGTTTGTTTTTTGTTTGATTGTTTCTGAGGCAGAGTCTTACCATGTAGCCCAGGTTGGCCTCGAACTCTTGGCGGTCCTCCTGCCTCAGCCTCCTGTGTGCTGGGATTACAGAAGTGCACCAAGGAGAGAGACTTGCATCTGGATCATCCCAGCCCTCTCTCTTTCTGTCCCTCCCTCCTTCCCTCCCTTCTCCTCCACTTCCCCAGCCCTAGTGGCAGCGACCTCCTGTCCCTCTGCACCAGCTCTACCTCAGCCAGGCCCCAGTCCCTTCCCAGCTTCTGTTCCCTACTCAGGCACCAGCTCTCCTACTTCTGCATCCTGAAGCCCCTGCCCCAGGTCCGCTTTGGGCAAAGGGATCTGAAGACTGGAAACTTGGGTGCAGGGACCGACAGAGTGGGAGCCATCTGAGCATGTGGGGAAGACATCTCAATGGGCGCCTGGGAGAATCCGCTCACCTTCTCTTTGGCCCAGGGGGATGCATTGCATAAGGGGGGTTTGTACAGAACTCGGTAAGTGACTCAACCTCCGGATTTCCTCCTCTCAGCTCGACCACTGTCCCCTGACTTCTTTTCAAGGTACTGGATGGTGGGACCTGGGTTGCTTCAGCATTGACCCTGAGCTGCTTTCCCACAGCTCAGAACCGTGTCTCCTCCCAGCCTTCCCACCACCGGCACCTCCTCCGAGCACAGATCTGAAGAGCCGCACCCCCGCTTCCCTTCCGAGGTCTCTGCAGGATGCACAGGGCGGCAGTGCACCCCCACCCTCCCTGCCCCACCACATCCCAGGGAGATGATGCCACCAGGAGGCCCAGAGCCCGGAGGGGCTTTCAGGCTCAGCTCTGCTAGTCTGGGCCAAAGCAGTTTATACAAGTCTTTGTCAAGCATCTTTTCTGTAAGACAAGTTCTCAGCTGAAGGGTAGGAAGAAAATGGCAATAAACAAGTGTGCTTAACATCTTCTTTGGCCCATCAGGATCTCCTGCTACCCCTTCACACCCTATACAGCTCTCAGGCACAGCTCCACCACTTCCCTGCTACAACAGCTTTCCCTAGATTCTGCTCTTTCCCACCTTTATTCCAGCACTCAGGAGGCTGAAGCAGGAAGATTGCCATGAGTTCGAGGCCAGCCTGGACTACATAGAGTTCGAGGCCTACTTGAGCTGCATAACAAGACCCTGCCTCAAAAATCAAGAAATAAAATAATAATAATATTTTAAAAATCAAGAAATAAATGATAAAGTATTCTATTCAATCCTCCCTGGGGAAGCTATTTAGCTGGGGAAGTTAAGGAAGGCCTCTCAGAGGAAGTAACATTTAAGTTAAAAGCTAAACATTCTCAAAAGGGAGGCAGATATGCCATGGGGGTTAGAGCGAGCAGAGGGAACAGCAAATGCAGAAGGTGTCCGGTGATCAAGGGGAAGAAGCCAAGTGTGGCTGGCTGAAGGGAAAAAAGGTGAGGGAGGAAGCAAGAAAGGGCCTCCTTGGCTGCAGAAAGGAGTTGCAAATGACACATGTGTCCCTCTGCCCCGAGGACCGACCCCAAGAGGCCGGGGCAGGGTGGAGAGCAGGCTCATCTCTGCGCCTGGACTGGCTTCCTGGAGCTGTCCCTAGGGGAAGGAGGTGACAGAAAGAGAGCTCCGGCAGGGACAGGTAGCCAGACTCCAATCTGAAGAGAAGAGGATTAGGGGTGGGAACATTTGAAAACCAGCAAATCAAGGCCCCAATGACATATTGGAATTCCTATCGCTTTAGAACCCATCAGGCCCATTCTTCCTTCCCGAGCAGAACTGGAGATCAGATGCCAGACTTAAGCTGAGACAGAATCTCAGGTCCCAGGAAAGCTGCAGGGAAGAAGGCAGAAGGGAGAGCGCGGAAAGGGAGAAGCCGCCCAAGGTGAGTCTGCCAAGGTCAGCCGGCAGCGCCAGCGCAGCTTGTGAAAGCTGTGGCCCTTGGTGCACACCTCCCACCTCCCGCCACGTTGCCACACACCCGGGCCCCCAGGGCCCCCATTCCAATGTTGCAAGATCCCGATCAGGGCTGTGGGTGGAAGGGGGCCTCATCACCTCCAGCGCCTGCCCTGCTCCAGGCCAGCAAGGGGACTCTGGCATGGAGGTGTAGGAGATGCCAGGGCTGAGGGCCTTGCGTGCCTTAAATTCTCACCAACCCCGAGCAGGCAGACACCTCCTTCCTGGACACAGCCTGGGCTGATCAAGGTGACAGTGGTCTAAGCTGGGCAGGACTTCCAGTGGCCTCTGTCCACTGCTCCAGGAAGCAGGCTTGGCCTGGCCTCAGAGACCTCATGGCACATGACAAATTCTCCCCAGGGAAGAAAGGGTGGGTGTTTGCAGAGGAAAAGGCGGCAAGCTGACTTTCCAAAATGCCCATCAACTCTGACTTCCAGGAGCAGTGGAAGAGGCCTAGGACCCAGCAATGGGAAGGGACTCTCCCACTTCTCCTTCAGGACAAAGCAGGGCTCCGAAGTAGAGGCAAGCCCTGCACACAGCAGAGCCGGGTCCACACCCTTGAAGCTGAGCTTCACCCTCAAGGCCCAAACTGTCCACACCCCCTCACCCCCACACTTAGTGTCCTGTCGCCCTCGGCCAGGCCATCCAACCCTGCTGCAACTGGGACGGTTTGCAAAACACTTGCTAGCTCCCCCTTTGTCACCGTCTGAGGTTAGGACTGTACTTGGGAGATAAGCTCAGGCCCCACCCGCCAGTCCCACAGACTGCTGGTCTGCTGCAATCGGGATGGTTTGCAAAACCCCTGCCGGCTCCAGCTCTGTCACCATCTGAGGTTAGGGCTGCACTCCAAGATAAAGGCCAGCCCCGCCCACAGTCCAGCCTTCAAACCTCACAAGCAGCTTGGCACAACAGGACAGAGCTTCTGGAAGCCCACTCACAGGCGTCAGTCCCCTTAGGCCTGGGGCTGCCCTCGAACTACATTCATTCATTCATTCATTTTCTTTTTTTTTTTGGTACCGGGAATCAAACTCAGGACCTTGCACTTGTCAGGCAGGTAATGTGCCGCTGAGCTATATCCCAGGCCCCTCATTTACTCATTTTTCTTTCTTTTTTTTTTTTTTTTGCCTTTTGGAGACAGGGTCTCACTATGCAGTTCAGGCTGGCCTTGAGCTCACTTTGTAGCCCAGGCTGGTGTCAAACTTGCAAGAATCCTCCTGCCTCAGCCTCCTGGATGCTGGGATTACAAGCGTGTACCACCACTCCCGGCTCCATTCACTCATTTTCTGAAAGGCACTTATTAACACTGCATCCAGCCAGGTGCTATCCTTGTGGAAACTACAGGATGATGAGGAAGATGGTCCCGCCCTGTGGAAGTCACAGATTAGGGAGGGTGACAGAGGGAAACAAGTTTACAAACCAGTACATAAGCCTAGATTATGGGAATTGCTGT